ACAACAGAACGGCTTGAATAATTTATAAATATCTTGTAAGCCAGTTGGAATCTATTGCTCCCACAGCATTCAAACCGAATTCCCGTTTGTCAGGACTAACTAATGTCTGTTGAAAAAGACATATTTTATACCCCCAAATTTCCCTTGACGGTAAGCAAGGCCAGGAAATAGCAAATCTTAAAACACCTATTACGGGACAATATTCTCTTAGCATTTACTTATAGTAATGATTTAGGCCTTGCGTGACGGAGGGTGGGAGGTATTGAGATAGGTGGGTGGGTGGGGGGGCAGTCTAGTTAAAGAAGCGCCATTGTTATTATTAAATTTAAAGGTTGAAGCCACTGAACGTCATTTATATGAGGGGCTAGCTTGTTCGGACATATCCCCTTAATATTGTACGCAGTTTTTTCAATTTATCGCATCTTTGTAAATACTGCAAGGGTTCCAATACCTTTTAAACTATCTAAACCTGTACGGCGTTGTGGTGTTTAAAAACGCGGATGGTCATTTACATTTTAGACAATATCTAATCCACGCTAAGATCAGGTCAAATTGATTATTGAACAAAAGCAAACCAAAATACAAACGATAGATATTCTCCCAGTTTGGATTCGTTCTAAGAGAGAGAGAGAGAGAAATGGAGTTTAACGTCCACTTTACACAAACTAGGTAATTTCGGGACTAACAAAAGGTTCAATTTTATTTCAATAATTCGCTTGCGCGTAGGGGTCTTTAACAGCGGGAGGAAAACGGAGGACCTGGAGAAAACCCACGAGGTTGGAAAAGCGACCCTACTTCTTGTTACGTACAACCGGGGAATCGAATCGAAACCACGCCAGTTGACTCAATGACAGACCTTCTGATACAGGGATTCGTTCTAATTAAATAGAGTTTAATATACAACGTATAGGTAGCGCTGGATACTTATATCGTCTCATGTGGATGCGCAATGTTGTAGAGTGTTGTAGTTTGCAAGATACGAAAATGTCAATCGGATAATTCAAGTTGAAGACGTTAACCGTGAATGTTACGAGATCGAAAAAATATTTAGCTGATACCGCTCTCTATTCCAGTCGGTAAAAATAACCGATTTTCTTTATTTGCGTCTCTTTCGGAATCTTCAAATCAACCATAGAAAGGATCTCTTCACAGTTATATTTGGAATGTGTTTAACCAATTTGATCGCTTTGTAATATCGATGGACACCAATATTGTCATTTAAAGATTTTTCACTGAAATCAGAATAAATGATACCGAGATAACGCTGTTGACCTGCTCAAATCAAAATTAACCATATAGGATATAAATTTACCTTCAGTCTCATATTCGTTTATCTTAACAAGAACACGTTGCTTCGTCAAATAAATAAATCTCGTAGAGCCATATCATTTACTACCGCTAGAGCTGACAACTTCACAAATCGGATTGGAGCTAGCGCTTGAAATACGATGCTTGTAGCTCTTTATGTGTCCTTATATTAAGTTTTAAAAAATATAACACTTTAACCCGCGTTTGCAAACTGTTTTTCAGAAATATATTAAGCAATGAAACATGATGTAGGCTTACAACTTAATGAAAAGAATAAATCTCCAGATAAAACATTTGAAACACAATAAATTATTCAAATTGTTGGCTTTATTGTTAGGTCGGCAAATTTGGCATTGTTTGTGTAGTGAAAGCTTATTTGTAATAGAAGTTGTATACAATATATCGGTTATTAGCGGTCATTATGATTTTAAAATTTCACAGCAATTCAACATTGCCTTAAGTTTAATATAAATTGCTGGAGAATTGTATAAGGCAATGGGAAATACCGTGACTTTATTGTTAGGTCGGTAACTATGGCATTGTATATTATATACAAAATATCTCTGTTATTATAAACATAAAACTCCTCATCAGTTTTGAAAATCAAACCATCATTACTTTAAGTTTAATAATAATCGATGGAGATGTTTATGTGATAATGACAAAGGTCTTTACTTTATTGTTTGGACTAATTACAACATCATCATCAAGCTAATGGTCAGATGTGATTTGAATAATATAGTACCAAAGGTAATTATGGATTATGGATGAACATATAAATCTAATTGTCTTACGACCTCCGCACCTGAGCGGTTTCTGTGGGCATTTTGTGAGCGATTTTTAATTTCCACAATATTGTTAGGAAAATTGGCCGTGTATGCCCCATTGTGACAGCAAATAACATCAACTTTTGTCGCCGCCGACGAATTGCCAAATATAAAACAAGTTTAATATCTGACGACAAAGAATTGCTCCGTCGTACGTCAATGGAGGCAGCAAACAATCTCTCGCGGCACAATTTGTTGTCTATAAATCACCTCATAATTGATATCCAGTCGTTTTATTAAACAAGCTTATTCCGCACAAGATAAAATATCAAGTGAACTTATAAGATGGCGGCCCCAATCCCTTGACACAAATCGGTGTGGGAAAACTGCTTTTACCCGCACACTCGTCAACTTGATTTCTACAGCAATACTGTTTGTCTAATAAGTTAGCTGTTTCGAGCGAATGTTGTTCGTTGATGCTTCCAGCTATTTGAAACGAGAAGGTTCGAAACAAGCGAATTCCCACATTTATGATAGCATTAAGAGAGCTAGTGATTGACATATTAATTAGTCGATTAATTATTGAAAAGCTTGTATTGATGTGAACTTTAATGGATTAGTTATCGTCATTAATATATAGTTATCTTTATCTATATTATATATTAATGCCTGCAGATTAGTCCCTTAATGTCAGTAGTAGGTCGAGGTGAGCTGTGACGACCGCTAGTGGGCAGTGCTCCTTTCGCTAAATAGTTAGGTCCTGTATATTAGCACCTGTTAGAAGTCTACCGGGTGTCGCACACTAGGTTGGACATCCATAATTTTTCTATAGCTCCACAATAATTGTTTGGTTAAGGTTTAACAAATAGAATGTCTTGAATTTGAACCCCATACAGCCTGAATGGCACACACCAATAATAATCACAAAACTGATGCCAAAAGTGAGAAAATCTCACTGTCAACAAATAGACAAATTTACGGACACTGCAATACACTACCTTCAAATGTTTTCAATGCATTCATTGTGCAATTTCTCGACTCTAACTGAAATATGGCTAGCATTTGCCGAGATCTTTCGTATACTTTCGGATGACTAAATCTTTAAAAATGTGTCGATATTACTGGCTATTGTGTGGGGATTTGATTTGTTCCTTTCGCTGGGCCTGCAAAACACTAATACAGAAGTGTCAAATAGTGGTTATGTTTCAGAGAGATCAGCCACAGTATATTTCATACTAATTATAATGACAAATTCTAGTTGATAAACCCATTGGTTCCATTAATTAAACGATGGGTTTGGTTATGATGAAATATTAATCACTTCCACTCTCGTCACGCAATAATACACTGATAATACCCTTTAGACAAAGAGTTACATTACGTCATAACGCGCTAATTATGATAAATGACGACCACTTGCTATTCGGAGCTATAAATCACCTCATAATTGATATCCAGTCGCTTTATTAAACAAGCTTATTCCGCCAAGCTCATTTATTTTGTATGGACACATACTTATCTTCTGATGCCCCATGCTGGATTAAAACTCTGAACAGAAGAACTGGGTCTAAATCAGTAGTATTATATAGCGTGGTGTCTGGGTGATTGTTGTTTGGGAAAAACAGGTCCTCAAACTGTTGACTGTATCAATATTACCAACATGACCTATATTTTATCAACTTTTTACTAAGTCAACACTGAGACTTGTGATCGAAATACCACCATTCACGACGACAAATTGATGTTTAAAATTCAATACTTAACTAGACCTTGAATGTCATTAAAGGTGCCAAATTTTTGTTAAATATATAAAGCTAAACCAGTGAGATCATCAGAACTGTTTTCGGTAAACCAAATGAAATTAAAATCCTACTCATCGTCATCAACCGGTGGCTCAGTGGGTATGACATTCGTTCACTAACCAGGGGGTCCAATGTTAGATGCCGGCGCTGGCCGAGAAAGATCATCTTGTCACTGTCAATGGTACAAGACGAGAAAGCGTCTGGACATTCGGGTGGCACGAATAACCGAGAATCACCCGTGGGATGAACGTTAAATAGTCATTGACAGTTGGGATTCGATGGTTACGGGGTAGATTACGGTTTTGGCATAGAAAGATCGCATGGATTATGTCCCAGTCTCTTTCCCCCTGGTGTAGGACGGAGGGTCTGTCAAGGGAAAAGCGTCTAGTCCTTCTGGTAGAACGATAAACGAAAGACCATCGTGTTCTCGTTGATGTGAACTTGAAATAACCCTGCCCAGGCAAATTTTCCGTCGTGATTAGCCCAGATTGTACAGAAAAGTACGGTGTTAAACTCCGTTAATTTATCAGATAGCATAAGCTTTCAATAATCTGCACAATGCAACATGACACTCGTTTATTATCAAACCACAAAGAATCAATATGCTTTCTTCTGTCAATATATCACCACATTAGCGTGTGAAGTCGGGCACTTGTCGGGTTTCGAACTCAAGACATTGGGTTTTGATCTTATGTACTTTCACGTTGATGATTAAGAGCATGGATGTTAAAGGTTTCTAATATTCACTTAATTTAAACACTACGTGTATGTCTTCTTTGTGGGAAGCCATTTTGATGACCAGGTTTTCAATGGCAAAGATACATTTAACAATATACGTTTATTGGAGAAATAATTTTGTTATTAAATTGTCAGTCTTAGTTAAATGTAGATGAAAACATTGAATTAATAGTCATTCCGGGTGCCCTCTCTTCTTTTTCGTTAATAACTGTATGTACAATTGACCTAAATTCTGATTATATTTTCTCACGATACTAATACGTTCTGTTATATTTTAATATTTTAACAAGGCGTTACATAATGATTTTTTATTACATATTTTAACAAGGCGTTATATTTTAAGAGGAGGTGTTATCTGTTATATTATAATTTACTATTTTAACAGAAGGCGTTAAATGATGACGTTAGAAGTGATATATCTGGTGAAACAGCTAGTGATAGTGGGCGTGGTACCAGTGAAGATGAGATCCATTTAACTATATTAGCAGGTAAATAAAATACAACAGAGATTACAATTAGATTGTTAAGCAATATGATCCGATTCCTACTTCCTAATTGCCAATCAATCGAAGTCAAATCTAGACGAATTCGTTTGGGATAGGTCAAAAATGTTCAAAACGAGGAAGACCTGTCTGGCTTAGATCCACATATAATGTTGAATCGAGTTAATCCGATATGTATTTACGATTAACTGTTGGAATACGCATTTTCGGATTAAATTTGTATTGTAGGTTGTACAGCAGTGTTCGAAATTATTCATTATTTTGCTCCACGTCAGATTTTTTTCCACTACATGGTAACATTTTCTGATAGGAAGTATATGTTGATTAATTGTAATGTATTATTTATTGAGAATAAATCTGGCGGTCTAGACCAAGGTTTTAAGACTATAGATCGATTGTATTACTTTCTAGACAAAATGCATATTTGGTTTCAGTTGTGTAAATAATTCCAAATATGTTTCCAAATATATCTAGACAAGAATACCGTGGCGATAGTTGATATAGAATAAAAATCATTATTATACACTTGTGTTTTGCGTGTACATTATGGGTAATTGTAATTCGAGAAGTATAAATGAATATAAATCCAACATAGACTTTATTAATAAATAAAGAAATGGAGATGGGTCGATATTGTGGAAAGTGACGCCAAAATTTGTAGATTAAGAAGGTCCGATTATATTGGGAATCAATGTATCTCCCAGGAATTTCAATGACTCCCACATAAATACCAATATTATGAAATCAACTACTAAAGTTTGATTCAGTTCCTGAAACGTTAACGCCATTATGCAAACAGACAAAACACAGGAACTTTGTGAATACACTTGAGTTGTGCTTGGTCTTGTAGCGACGCTTTCCCTAAAAGCCCTAGGCTCAACCATTACACTAGTACGGTCATCATGAACCTTGGCATGTTTGTTCCCTGGACAACTGCGCAATATGACTGCGACGAAAAGTGTGAGTTAGAGCTAAACGCACAATAATTAGTTTTTAGTCGTTCACCACACGCTTACTCCAAATACTAGTCGATTTAAGTCAATTTATTTACTTCTAGGTGGCGATGGAAGTTACAGACGCTGTCAAGTGAGTTTGAGTCCCGATTTCGAGGATTTTCTACCACCACCGCCTTACGTCATTGGCGATAAAACTGACCAATCGAAACAGCTGGCTCACGTGTCAACCTACCCGAAACCCAGAGCGATGAAAAAGGAAGGCGCTGGTGCCTCATTGCATAATATTAGTAAATCTAACACTGAAAGGGGTGCTTATGGTACTCTTGGGTACGAAAATAAACTTTTAGTAAATGGCTCAAGTGGAAAACTTTTATATAAGCCAAGTGGCTCGGGTATTAACGATTACCCAACCATAGAAATGAGAAGACTTGAAATAACACCAAATGGTTATAAAGTCTCCTGAATAACAACTAAAAAGGGTCAAAGTGCGCAAAGTGAAACATTTTTATGTGTATTTATATTGTGGTGAATTGAGTATTATTTATTTTCATTCTTGGCCTCTGATTTATACATGTATTGACATATTCTAAGAATATAGTCTCAAAACATGTAGACTTGTCATCAAGTTGTCAATCCATATGAACGCTTGATTATGCAGCTTCGTTCCATGTCTGGCAAGAAAAACTGGTCTAGCCTTGCACGTAAATGAATCCTTTGCAGTTAAAAGTCGATGAAAAGTAACCGGAAACTACGTTGGTCGGTCTTCATTAGCCAATTGGTTAAAAGAAGAAACAAGGCCGCCAAATCCCATTTCACGTTCTATAATTATGTTCTGATTTGTCTTAAATCTTTGTGCATAAATAGATCGGCTAACGCAGTCAATGTATCATTTTATGCCGTAATTCCCTAACACTGTGAAAAGGGGAGTTAGTCTAGTCATTGCTGTTAATTTACATGTATAAGATTAAACCATTTTAAATGATCTAGTTGTCATTATTTAAAAACATATCGATCAATATTATTGTGAGATGAATAAATGTAGCCTGTTTATTGTTTAAATATATCATATAGCTTCAGAGTTTATGCAGGGTAAGTTTCGTATTTTTATATTCAGTTAGCGGAATAGTTGAGTTTTAACCAAATACACATTGTCGTGGCCATATTTATAATAGTATAACAGAACGATGAAAATTGGTTACACATGTAGAATCCTCAAATGAGAAGTAGCATCAGGTGTCCAAGAAAGTCATACGATTATTTTTTATATACAAGTCTTATTTCGTGCCATGGTCATACGCATAGTAATACAACACAATTATGAACATTTATTAACCATGTGAACTTCTTGAACGAGAGTGGTATCAGGTGTTACAGAAGGACACACGATTTACTCACATATGTTATTTATTTTTCACCTCTGTCAATAGATTCGGGTTTATCGTGACATGAATTACGATCCTATTTGACATTTACACTGCGAATTACCCTGTTTCAAATAGACGAAAACTGAATTTCTGGCACCGCGACCGAACGGGTTACCTGTACATGATTCAAATTAAGTCTAACAATGAAGAAGATAAACGATTGCTGCTTACCCTGGAGATTTTGAACTCATGTTGGCTTTTGTTGGTAATATATAAGATCAATACTTATATTATCTTACCCAGTTTCAATACTGGGTGTTTTTTTAAATACATTACCCCCCCCCCCCCTCCATAAAAAGATATCCCGTGTTTACGGTTACCCGACGTATCATATTACCCCAACCCCTTCTACATATGCTATAAATCAGTTTTGGTGATGTTTCCTGCAAAAAGATTTCCACACTGAAATTTCGGTATTGACAAAAGATCGAATCGCGATTAATTTCTGGAACCTTACTCGGTAATTAATCTTGAAATGTTTGGATATAAGAATTAAACACTTTACAGTATTTAAAATGCAAGATTGATATTTATTAATATATTACTGTTCTATCCTATCTTACCTGACAAGTCCCACAGGAAAAAACAAATTCGACCGACCAACACTATGCTTTTAGACCAAGTAAGCGTAAACACAGGTAGTATTTTTCGGGGGCCTTAGTGATGAGACAATTTTACAGTCTTGAATGTTTGAGACTTTTCGTTTCAATTCCCATACGAAATGTTATTCGGCGACCTGTCTCTGGACTATGGCGATCACCAATATAAACACGGTCTTTAATTTTGAAAACCAAATAAGGCCAGTGTCCTAGATTATCTGCCGCTGCCATTACATATGTATAAGTGATTGGAAAATAAACTAAATCAGTTCCTGTAGTTCTTACAACATCCAGTGCACTCACCTTGTGCGATTTTCAAAACTAGTAACATTTATTGAAAAAAACTGGATGGGATTTTGTGTTGCCACACTGATTTAGACAAGCAATGCTGTCACTGATTATAGTTGAACCTGATTTCCACACCTATGGGGTTCTGCTTAAAATTATGTACAGGACTCTAATATAAAACTAGACAAATAGAGGTATGAAATAAAAATAGATGTAACGTATATAGATAGTTTCTGATTTCATACTTCATTTTTAACCTTTTGTAAATGATTTATTATTATTAAAATATTCATATTTGTATTTTTTATTAAAATTTCATATATTGCCATTTTCTATATAATACATATGTGGTTGTGAGACGCATAATACTAGAGAATTGATTTGTTTGAATCTTCATGGGTGTAGGGTGTATTTGTATCATGTCGATGGTCTAATATTTCTGTATTTGTTATGCGTGACAAGGAGTATGGTGGTTTGCTTTTCTCCGAGTCCTTAGTAAAATATTAAACTAAAAATTGTTAGCCTAACAATGATGGGGCTAGGCTGTGGTGAATACAGCTGTGATCTGAAATCAATTAGAATAGGAAATCACCTTTATCAGAGCTAAATAGACGTAGAAGAGCTCTGTTGCGGTTGCCAGTGCAACTTTAAATTTTAATAAGTGCTGGCGAGACATCAGTCTGACAGGGCGTAGTCGACGTCGAACAGCATCAGCTTCAGAACCAATGGCAGCAGTACGGGAAGCTGGCAGCGTGCGATCCTGGGCAGATTTTGTCGGATAATATGATGGTGTGCCGTTCTGGCCTTGACCGATTCCTAGTGGACCGTGTCGTCTATAGTGTGATGCCATCTAAACTTTCCGGCGACGGCTCTGGTACTCATGCCGTATCGAATTAACGGTGTTTGGGTCTCAAACTGTAGGGAGCTTACCGACTCTATCTGGCCTTTTAAAAGCCACATTTGATACCCCATGTCTGTACCATAAAATCGTGATTTTCAACATTCTGTCAATTTTATTTTTTTGTATTTGATCTATGACGCGTTTACGCGATCGTGAAAACATCCTGTTCACGTGTTATCGTCCTCATCTGGTGTTGTTCCATTCAGAATTGCAAGATTCAAGTTTATCTCTCAATTGAGATCTAGAATCACCAATTACTGGTCCAACAACAATAGTTGAAGCGTGTTACTCTTTTAATATCGACGATAAGATGAACAGATTAAATGACTTGGTCGTATTATAGGATTATCTAGCCAGAAAATTCTTTCTTTATTATAAAACTATTATTATTGTGACATGAACTATTGTTCTGGTGTCTTATCAGAGCTTCATTTCAAAACATAAACAGCATGCTATATATTATTACGGCGTGTTATCAAATGCTTCAGAGTTTAAATTCAGAGCTTTACGCCGATATAGAAACAGCATTATATTCCAATAGTTTTATAGCGTATAAGGAGCCAAGATGGCTTAGTACGTTTGGCGCTATGTCACTAAGCAGGGGGTCCGTGTTCGATATCAATGTTGGCCGAGAAAGTTCCTCTGGATTTTACAGTCTAGTCTTAGTTGTGATTCATGGGTTGTTGGTGGGGGGATTGAACGAAAACCCACGTAAAAGATGCCTTGGCAGTTGAACATTGAACAAAGGTAGATATAAACGCCCTGTCATGACAAAACGTCCCTCATCACACACTTCATTACCCCGATTGGTGTAGAAAACTAGTGCTTAAACCCGAAGCAGGTTGTGTATATTTCCGCTGGTTAACAAGCATTGAATAATAAGTTGACTCGTACTGTAGACCGTATTTATAATATCAAATGCTTCGAGTGATTAGATAGTTGTTCAAATCTATTTTATTGCTACATATTAGTGAAACTAGACATAGACAATAAATTCATTCCATAGACAACATTCCATTTAACTACACAAAATTCATCTCGTGCTTTTGTTTTGCCATAAACCCATAGTTTTCCTTCGGGTATATTTTGAAATTTAAAATCGATTCATTATACAACATTAAAATAACAGGATCTATCTCTTGATTCTCCAGTAACATATTTACATTATTATTACTATTGTTACCACGATATCAGTTTTTTTTATTCTGTAATTATATATGCGACATCTGTTTCTAAAACAGGCTTCATTCTAATCATTATGGACATGCCATGAATGGAAGTATATTACACCGATATTTTCAGGTTTAAATTGCTTTTAAATATAACACCATTAAATTATTATAACAAGTTCTAGACAATTATTATAACAAGTTCTAGACAATTAATCGGCCCCAGGGTAAACTTTCTATTAAATGGTTCCACGAGAGTAATTTAACCAACACAAAGTTGTGGTGAAAGGAGCAATGTCTCCGAGATGCCTCCGCGCCGGATCTAAAAATCGATTTTCTTTTTATTCATATTTTAAAAATAGTAAATTTTGAATAAGACGACAAAGTTGAAAATATTGTTGAGGAGTCATAGATACGTCTATTAATTAACGCCTTGTCATCCACGTGCAATTTTGGCATTGTGTATAATGCCCATAATTAATTAGAATTGAGGACTAAGCATTGAGGTTTTAATAGAAGAAAATTATTCCACTACAAGGCATAATGTCTCTTTAAGTTCACTCTACATGTATATCATATTTATATATGTGTATGTATTTATGTATGTTTTTTCTCTATAAATATCTCATCACGTGTTTTCTATTATAAATGTTTATTCCTTTTATATATCATGTATTACTCTTGTGTGTATATAACATACATAATGTACAATGTGAAAGCTCTTTTTGCTTGGGTATGTTTATGCTACTTTCAATTCTTTTATTGATATATAAATATTTTATATTCATAATAAAACATAGAAAAAAACCTTTTTGTTTTAATGGCTTGTGGATAAGTGCGCAAAAATCATTTTGTATGGAAATTCGATTCCTGTGACAATAATATGTAAGCAAGATATTTGAACAAATGTAAACTTGAGAAATCGTTTCAAGATTATTATCACTCCGACTATCTCTCCTGTCGAATAAAACTGTATTGGCAAAAACAAAAGGGACATACGACCATTTTAAGTGATGCGGCGGTATCTGAGAACCAGAATATTTCTTTTATGTTCAGACATTCATTTTCTTTGCGTGAACCTTTCAAAAAGTGTGTGTGATCGCACAACCGCGCAGCTTGGAGGAATCATTTTTGACAAGAATGCAACCAAATGTTATTTATGTGTTACAGGAGATATGTCTTTTAACTAAGTCGATATTTTGTTATAAATATTTCATTCCATATTGAGCCCCGTATATGGTCATGGTCGTCATGGGTTACACAAGATATTAGATATATAACAATCCTACTCGATTCAGTATACACGGATATTTCGTCGTAGATTGCACGGGATAGTCCCTGTCCTTACCTTTTAGGACAGGGTGACTTTCATCCAAATGACCCGATTAAGTACTACCCAAACGCGCCTAATGGAAAGAAGTTCAGGCGAAGAAACAGAAACTGTTATAAACCTAGGTGACGTGATGCTAATTATGTATCAATGAATAATAAAACAGGGGAAACAGGAAGTTTAAATTCATTAAACAAAATGTAAAACGGCCATAAGTAATTGGGTAATTGGGTAGAGCGACCTCCAATTTCAATACCCTGCCCTATTTGTCTTTTTTTTAAATATGCATTATCTGCACCGTATTATGCATTGTTGCCCTTTGAACTGTTAAATACAGTATATGAAACCATTATAGACAAATTCTAATACATGTATATATTTGTTATTACATGGAGGATTGGGGGAGGGGGGTCTAACGCGTGCGCTTTAGATTATAATGTCTCTCATTGAGTTAATGGACATGTTTCCTATCCGACACTTGTACGTGACAATGGGTAGTGTCGCCTGTCTAAGTTCGCGTGTTTCCCCGGGACCTGGGTTTTTTCCTGCTGCTAAGGATCCCTAAAATTGTACTACATGCTTGTGCGGTTGGATGGCCGAATGGTTAGCACGCTCGCGCTGTATCATAAAGTCTGTCATTGAGTCAACTGGCGTGATTTCGATTCCCCGGTGGTACGTAACAAGGAGTAGAGTCGCCAGTTCAACCTCGTGGGTTTTTTCCGAGCCCTCCGGTTTCCTATCACTGCTAAATGCCCCTACGCGCAAGCGAATTATTGAAATATAAAATTGAACCATGTGTTGG